ACCAACCGTTGTACCACGAGAAAGATGTACCGACACAAACGAACTGACACAAAACCAACCGTTGTACCACGAGAAAGACGTACCGACACAAACGAACTGACACTAAACCAACCGTTCTACCACGAGAAAGACGTACCGACACAAACAGAAGACTGTGATGAAACAAGTTGTTTTAAAAGTGACAGAATGTCAACGGTCTGTGAGTGTGAACTACCGTATTTTCTGCCCTACACGTCGCTCCACCCTATAAGTCAAATCAGTCCAATATGTCTAATGAAGTGGATAAAAACCTAAATGTGTCGCGCCGTCACATCTATTATGCTTCACCGCTGACGCGTCGCGTTTGTTACACGTCACCGCTGACAAACTGGAAATGTGGGCCGATGTGCCAAAAATCGATTGGCTGCCGAATGGCGGCCACGAAAGCGTTCATGGGAGGATTATTTGTTTGCTCGAAATTATAATAAATGTGTGTCTCAGTCTAAGTTTTCCTTAATAAATGCACTTTGACGGTCAAATCAGCTGCATTTTAAAACCCAATACGCAGAAGAACGAACGCGCAGAAGGACAACTTGCTGTGCATTTCTATTAAATTTGACAAGATTAACACTTAAAAACAATTATTTATTTGCTTGACTTCATAGATAAGGTGAGTCTCAGTTGAACTTTTACTTAATAAATGCACTTCCATGGTAAAACCAGCTGCATTTCACCGGAGCAGTGCAGCAAAATGAAGCTGATTTGACGGTTGCTCCAGGTGAGCTGGACGAAGGTGGCAGGCTATGGCAAGCTGACTGTGTCATTAATAGCCACTTTTATCTACTACATAATACAATGGCATACCATACTACTTGACTGCCATCTAGTGGCTGAAAATGGTAATGTTCAAAATTTCAATCAGAAATGAGAGCGAATGAAAACGGTCATATCTCAGCCAAAAATTGGTTTATAAATATGGAAAAAAAAATCTATAAATACATTGCTTCAGTGTACAAGTTGCAGAGCATGCAAATTATGCAAAAAAAAACCCCAAAAAACACTGCAACTTATGGGCCAACAAATACGGTAGTGTTAGTTGTATTTTTGATGCTACAGTATTTCATGTGCACGTAGAGAACCTTGTTTGCAGCTGGAAGTCTTTCTGCTAACGGACGAGTTGAAGCTATTGCAGACATAATTTTCAGCATAAACGTGAGCTGCAGGCTGGTTGAACTGTGAGAAGTTGCTTTTCTCTCAACAATGTTCTTGTCAACAGTGATGAGTGTACGTACCTCTGCAGTAAAACCGCCTCCAGGCGTGCACACTGCAGACACTGCTCACTATCCACAGTCAGCCTTCAGCCTTAATTAACGCTCTGTTTTCATGCACGAGCATGCACATGAACACCATCAGCAGATGTTTAGGAAGCGCTCAGCTGAAGCAGTAGGTGTGACAAAGGAAATCATCTGTATGTAACGTAATGTTTGTGCAGCCGTGGGGCGTTCAAACGCCTTCCACCCAGAGCGATGCATCGAACCACTGATGTGATGGGAGTGTGCCTCGCTCAACGTGTTTTTATTTTTACTTGTCATGATTATTATTTTATAAAAAAATGTGTTGTGTGTCTGTAGCATCAGTTCACTTCAGTTTATTCATATAGCACCGTTGTCTCAGGGCACTGAACAGAAACATTCACAGACTTTATAAAAGACAGTTAGTAAAGTTCTCTTTCTGAGCAGACTGTGTTGAATCTTCACTTCGTCACAGTCTCCCATCCTGAGCGAGCACAAAGGAGACAGTGGGAAGGAAAAACTCTGTTTAACAGGAAGAAACCTCCACCAGAACCAGACTCAGGACGAGCGTCCATCGGCTGGGTTGAGAGGACAGACGAACACAAGTTAAAAACAGTCCTTGAAGGGATGCGTGTCACCTTCATGTCGGATGTTTAAACTGAGAGTAAGACATGATGGAACTTCATGAAACCTTGGAAAACACCAGACATGCTACCTCGTGCAATATTTCAAGATGTGCTAGATAATGTTCCATTGTTCACTTTTGCATGAAGTAACCAGAGCTGTCACTGGGTTCTCAATAAAAACATTTGTGCAAATGTTTACACGGAGGATACTGCTTTTTGATGCCACGAATCATCTAACACTTCATCAGTCAAATTTCACAGAGATGACATCATACAAAGATGCTTCTCCTTCCATCTGAAGGGCTTCATGTCTGAGGAAACACCAAACAAAACTGATTCTTCTCCAGCAGCCATTGATGAATTTGTGGTTTGGCTTTAATCGACTCCGTGTCAAGCTCCTTCATCCAATTAGCTTTTGGACCGCTCCATTGACACGCAGTGTCTCTGTCCATTTGTCCTGCTCCACCCTGTCCACACTTGTCCTCTTCCTCCCTGCAGATGATTCATCATGTCACAAACATAATTTCTTCCACAAGTTGTACTTGGCTTTGGTTCTCTCTGCTTTTGGAGGAGTGTGTTGTCCTTGTTATCCGTAGGCCGGTCCTTGTTCAGGTTTATGTCCCACACCTTTTACAACTGGACGTCGTCTTCTTGCCGTTTCACCAGAAGCTTCAGCGCTGCAAGGCTGGCAGCACCTTTACAGCAACACCCACCGTCAGCTCGGTCTAAACAGCAACCATTGTTGTAATTTAATGTCAAACACACCCGGGTCACAGATCACTGAATGATGCTTCGCTCCAAAGCTTTCAGGTTTAAACCCACCAGAGAAACATCAGAGCTTTGTGCCAGCTGTCGAGTATTTGAGTGAAACGTTTCAGCCTTTATTCAGACAGGTTGGTCTCATGAAGATGTCACGTCTAACTTTTCTTGGTGAACAGTGCTCATCAAACTTTTACAGAACTGTGTAAAATGTATTTTATTCTTTGTCGTCCCTGTACACGGGTGTTGTACATGAAGTTGTTGTAGACTTGTACTGCCAGAGCTCCAGCAACAGTAAGGAGCAACATCTTGTTTCTGGTTTGGCCAAAGGTTTTGCAGAGACGGCATGAAGTTTAGAAGTTCTCCACTCGGTCAACGTCTCCAGTCCAGTTCACAGGATCAGACAGCTTCACACTTTCCATGACTCTTCATACTGGGACACTCCTGAGAACGTGCTACAAAAACCTGCAGAACTTCTTGTTTATAACAAACTCAGTCCATCCATCCATCCATCCATCCATCCATCATCTTTACCCACTTCCTCCTTTTTGGGTCACTGGTGCCCATGTCCAGCCATCACTGTGCAAGAGGTAGGAGACACCTGGACATGACTTCAGTCCATCACAGGGACACCTGGACATGACTCCAGTCCATCACAGGG